CCCATCGCTTCAAAATATCAATATCTCCACAGGTTAGGTTGGCTGGCTGTTCTATCATTATGGTGCCGTGTTTTTTTCTCTTCCCCTGAGTTTGGTAATGCTTTGATGCCATGCTCCTTTAGCTGTGCTGTTTTGGATTCTTAGCACGATCAGTTTTATTTCCAGTGGGAAAAGGAGGTGAACAGGGAGCTGTGAGTTCTATCAATATCTACATGTGGTTTGCTGTGTATGCTTAATCTCCCCAAATTATTATTTTATCTGCTAAAGTTCGCCTTAGAAATCGATTCCAACATGGCATCATAATTGATAGCAGCGAGCAAAACTTTGATCTCTAACACGTTTATTTAATAACAACATCGATAGTTCTGTCATTCAGTTTCGAAGTTTCAATCTTTTTTATTTGGTTAAGTTATCATCGTGATTGCCTTATAATTAAGTTCCCTGTGTTCTTTTTTCCCCTGGCAGGTGTGGAGTGATCAGAGTGAATTTTGGGCTTTTGAGTGAGAATTCTGTGTGTTTTTTTTTTTGTTGAATTTAGGATTTTCAAGAGCCAAGAGTTTCCTTGACTGAGATCGCAGACTCGCTGATTATGGCATGGACTATTCTGGACAGAAATAGCAGACCTTGCCTTCAGGCAATTCTGAGCTTTATTTTTTCCAACAGAAAAGATAGCAAACAAGATCTGTGGCTGCTGTTGCACCGGGGCATCCATTCCCTTTCTTTCTGAGATTCATGTTGACAGATTGTACAATCAAACACTAAATGCTTTATTCAGTATCTCGCTGCCAAGATTAAATTCTGCTTTGTGTCCGGTCCCTCGATCTGTCCACTATGTGCATCCCTTTATTATTGTTTTTCGTTTTCTTTGCCTTGTATTGACATTGAAACCATTGCTCACATCCTATCTTTCTTCTTTCCTTTTTTTTCTTGGACAAGGTTCACAGATACATGAGGTGATTATGGTGCCGTGGTGATCACATAGTTGGCTTGCTCGAGATCAACAGCAGAATTTCCGTTCTGTTGGTTTTAAATGAATACTTTGGTTTATGTTTTCTGTTTTTAACCAATCCATTTGCCACTTCGATTTCCACAATTGCATGGTGGGTTACAAAACCATTTTCTGGAGGTTCACTTTGGATCCGGGCAGCCTTTTGGTTTTTCTGTGCAGGAGACATGTACTTGCTTTGAAGGATTTGAAGCAGCTCATAAAACTGATTTGTTGTTTCGCTTTTTGAGTTTGATGCGAAGAGCTGGGTTTGGTAGTTTAAGACATGATTGAAATGCATGTCAGGTCAGGTTGATCTCTTAAATCACCAATCACCGGTCAATGCATGCCTGTCAACAATGCAGTTGGTGCCGCGCCCCCCTTATCCAGCCCCGTTGTGCCAGCATGTTCTAACCTTATGAAAAAGATTGTTTTTTTTTTTTGCTGTTTTTTTTTTAATAAAATTACTGAAGATAGACTGTTGTCAATTTTCCATCTCAAGAAATTAAGAAATATTATTGTCCAAGTAAAATGCAGGAAAAGTCCAGTTCCTTCGAGTCATCTCTATGTTCTTTAATAAATTATGGCTACAGTTTCACTTCAAACCCTAATTGCAATTGAAATTGCCAAGTGATGGATCAGATATGCTTTGTTCTAAAAATGTTTCCTTCTCTTGAAGACCATAATCACAAGGGCTAAGATAACAGAGAAACTTAGCGAGAAGTCAAGGCCGAAAACAATGAGACCAGATGTGTTATATGGTTTCCACCTGACCTAACTTTTTTAAGTTTGATTACGCGCAGTAATTATAAGCAAATGAGATCTTAAAATAAAATAAAATAGTATAAGATATAATTCTTAAAACAATCTAATAATTAAAAATAAAATTAAATAAAAAGGATTGGGTTGTCAAAAGGTGAATTAATAAAAAGAAAAAAAACTAAACAAATGAAAGAAAGAAAACACAAAACACTATTTCAACAAATAATTTTTTATGAATGTAACTACACAGCTGTGGTTCTTTCAAAAATCCAAACTTTCCAAATGATTCGGCGCCATGGCAAATGCAATTCTTGAGATCTTATGCCATCTTCCCAGCATCTTCGGTCAAGAAATTTACTAATTGATGCACAGAAAATGACAATGAAAACTCCAATATTATTTTCAAAGCTCTTAAAAGAAATACTAGGGCATATAAGGAGAGTTTTATGTTAAGTGTGGTTTAATTTCTCAAAGGTCAAAGGAAGTCTCACTGGGATGAGGGAGGAGAGAGGGAAAAAAAAAAAAAGGGAAGGGAGAGAGAGAGAGAGAAAGGAGAGGATAAAAAAAGAAAAATTGAGAGAAAAGTCTCAACCAAGCCCAATCCATGAGTAAAATAAAAGGGAACCAATTCAAACCAATAAGCCCATTGATCCATTTTGTGATAGCACCACTAAGTTCTTATCACACGTGGCGTTGTCAAACGAGCTTCAAGGCATGTTTAGGACCACTGCAAGTTATCTGTATAAAAGAGTGTTTGAAAACATAATGTAATTTATATTTTTAAAAATTTTAAATTTTTTTATTTAAAATAATTTTTTTTATATTTTTAGATCTTTTTAATATGCTAATTTTAAAAAAAATATTTTAATATATTTTTAAATAAAAAATATTTTAAATCACCATCACCACTATAATTTCAAACAAATATGAATATCTTGTTAATTTTATGAGAGGATGCACATGCACATTGTATCTCTAACTCCGTATTCCTAACTCCATATTGCAATTTCTTGTGATTTAGTGGTATATAAATATTTAAGGATGTATAAGAAAAATTGAATAATCTATTTACACTCATAATAATTTAAAATAATACTCTCCTATATTTTGATTCTCTTCTTTTATATATTATTTTTCTGAAATACTTTGTTAATTTAGATATCAAAGAAACACCTATCCTGTATAGTTTTTAAGGAATTAGAACTTATACCATGTGGACTAGGCCAGCATGCCTCCTCTCAATTATAAAATTGTTAAGTTTAATAGAGTTTTTATTAGTATTAATTTTTTTTTAATAATATATATCAGATAACTCAAAATAAATTACAGAAAATAGACCATATTTGTATAGTTTAATAATGTATACTAATTTTCTTTGGCCATCTGTGTTGCATGAGAAGTTTATATTAAGCTAAGAAGCTTGTTTTAAT